TTGCCCTGCTCTTCTTCTTCTTTCATTCTACCCTCAAGACAAAACAAAAACAAGAGTTTCTGCACACTCATTTCCATAAAAATCCCACACGCCCACTGTTGAAAAATATCTCACAAGCACATTATTCAGTTTGACAACAGATTCTGATGTGTTACGTTATGGATGCACAAATCTGCTGTGAGAGATTATTCTTATTGCTCGGCATGGCAACAAAAGGAGCAACAAAAAATGTTTGAAATTTAAATACAGAGAAATCCTTTAATATGACATCAGTATGTTACACAGCACAGGCCATGTAACCGAACCCGGTCGATCGTTGATGCTTCATAACAAGGGATAGCAAAGAGACAAAAAGATTTAGGATGACATAAAAAGTATAATTATATAACAATGTATGAATGATGGTGTGATATATTGGATGATGAGAATCCTAGGACCATGACGGACAATGATAAATCTACAGGGACCACCAGAAGCGCCCGAGAGGGACTCCCTCACATGGCTGGGCTGTCAGAACATTTAACCAGTTTTTTTTCAAGTCACAAGGAATCAAACCACAAACCATTCAACACTTTAAGACCTTTAAAACCTAGAGACGGGACCCCCCAAGAGACAAAGATCGGAGTCGTGTATGACAGCACATGTGACAGCTGCGAGGGACACTACGTGGATGAAACGCCAAAGTTGAACAGAGTCGGAATGAACGCTGGAAACGGGCGACATCAGCTGTCTGTGAACCCCAGAATAAACTGGTCACAGCATCGACTGGGAAGGAGTCCATGAGACCACGAGTCATTGGATTGCCGGAGAGAGATCAAGCAGGACATCAAACATAGACAGAGACAGGTTACAGGTTACAGTCCCTCCAATATATGACCAGATGCGACCAAAGTTCCATACTGAGCCATCTTCGTGACAGCTGAGCAACTCCATCCACCACTGAAGACAGTGAAATGTGGTTGAAAGGTCGCACAAGACAAAACACAAGCAAGGGGGGCTTGAGTTAAAGGAATAATTGGACATTTTGGGGAAACACTTTTGCTTTCTTGGCAGGAGTTGGATGAAAAGGACAATATCACTCATATGTGTCCATTAAAATGCAGCTAAAGCCAGGAGACACTTAGCTTAGCCAGAAGAGTGTGTGAATGTGAAAAATGATTAGGGCACACACTGTAATTGACACCCGTGTGTTTTGCCAATCCACTCTGAGGGAAACAAATCTGTTATCTCAATCTGTTAACTGCTCTCCCAGTTAAACTTTCGTTCATAAAAAACCAGGCTACACTTGTTATTTCCCTGTGTCAGGTACATATTTAAACAACATTTATAATATAAGGCTTGGATTTGGATCAGGGCCAAATAAAACTTAATCTCTAGAAATATTCCCCTTACAACTGCAGCTTGTTGTTTTTCCACTTCTGTTTTTGCATGAATTGAACAAAAGAGATATATGGTGATAATTAGTGAGCTTTAGAGGTCTTCAGTCTTCATGCTAACAGTCTGCAGCTTCATATAGAGTGGTATTGATATTTTTACCCAACTCTGCAAGAAAATGAATGAGTGTATTTCCCAAAATGTTGAACTATTCCTTTAAGTTTTCTTTTCCTTTCTTTTGGCAAAAAATCTAACATCTTAGCTTTCTGTGGATGATACGCCCGCTCAATGCTGCATACAAAATGAATAACTCAACTCGCTCTCCTCAAGTTTCAATGGATTTTTATTCCGTGGGTGCATGATCATACCTGACAAGATAACTTCATTTGTGCAAACCAGTGTCTCAAATAAAGGGACTAGGACTCTCATCTGTGTTGAAACCCTGCTTTGAGTTTTGATGTAATTCAGGTGTATCTTTAGATGCAAATTTCACATAGTGCAGCTCAGTGAGTGGGATGCAAACGGAGTCGTGGGCTTTTGAGGGAGCCGTTAAGCTGCTGGGAAGCAATCATAATGGAGCACATTTACAGAAGTAAGAAAAGTTGGTAATGGATCCACTGCAAGGCTGTCACCCCCTCTCATTCTCTGTCTCCTCCTCACTTTATTTTTCCACCCACACAAACATGGGGCTGCCGGCGCAGCATGACACCTGTGGAGATTGGCAGGGCCGAGCCAAAGTTACTGAAATGAACCAGAGAGCCGTGACACACTGTGTATGTCAGTCTGTATGATGTAACAATGTGTAAACACTGGAGGCCATTTAGGGAAGCTCCTGGTGAGAGAGAAGGGGGCCGACCTCAGGGAAGCTTAGTCAGTGTAGATTTCATGGGGACACTAAAAGAGGATATTAACTTCCTTCTATCAGCTGACATCACCTCTGCTCCGTCCGGATGATTCAACCCCTGATCAGGAGGAGACGAGCAGTGGCGAGCAGCTGCAGCTCTCAGAGAAAGCAAAATCCTGTCAGTCATGAGCGCAGTCTCACCATTCATCACACTGCTCCACCATCAATAACATCAAAGACCCCTTACTCTCATTAGAAAGGGATACCACGTGAGTGTTCAGCCTTCAAAGGGTACGACTGCAAATGGCCAGAGCAGACTAATTGAAATAAGACTACAAACCTTGTTGGTCTAATAATATGGATAGACATGCACTGACTGAATGACAGGTTGATTTATTCTGTGCACAGACCTAAACTCTTTTTCATTTAATACATGGCTGCAAGAAAACACAAGCTCCAGGGGTGTTCACACACATATCAAAGAAAACACACATTTGCATTAGTTGGCATATCATCAGCATCAGCCTCGCAGGCTGCGTGCTGCTTTGTTTAATTCCTCCTCTGCATGTGAGCAGATGGCATCACCTATGCCGTCCTCTCCACAGCCCCTGTTGGTGCCCTCTCTAAATAAAACAAAGAGAATGAATCTACACCTACCGTTCCCAGAGATGTGGTTCTCTATCTCGCCGTGTCCAGCTTGCCTTGTGCAGACACTAAGTTGCATGTAGAGTCCCATGTAATGTAAACTCCCCAGCAGCACCCTGAACGCTCCCATTTCTCTTCTGTTTTATCTGCTCTCCTTTCCCCTCTTGATTTATTCACATCGGGTGGAGTGCACGTCGGAAAAGAGTGTTTTTTTTTCTTTCTTTTCTTTGTTTTTTTTGTTTTGTTTCTTAAAATCCAGGTGACTTGCTGTGGCGATGAAGGGAGTGAGATACCTGTGAGAAATAAAGAACCGAAGACGCCGCTGCAGCCTCCGACTATGGCAGCAGACTGACTGAGGCTCTGCTTCCGTTCAGTCGGATCTACATGCGGCGGAGGGACACTTCTCCCAAATGGGAAGTGCCGCGGCTCGCATTGGGGAATATCAGTGAGGTGTGATATGAAAAGCACATTCAGCAAACTTTATGATGTTTAATTTCTCGCTTTTTAAACTAACATGATATTATGATGATGATGTTGTGTTACTGTTAATTAAATAATAAAGGCAGAAAGTGACAATCATACACAGGGTGCTGCATCATTGGCCAAACAAAGCATTTGATAACCGGTTGGGCAAACAGTCTGCCTCCCATATCAGTGACCACAGGTAGTACTTATTGTTTATTGATTGATTAATTAATTATGACATTTCTTTAAGTAAAAATAAATAAAACTAAAACTGTTTAAAGAAATGACTTTTGTTCGTGGCTGGTAGGACTCTAAAGGGATGGATACAGCCTATTCCTTCCTTTATTTTTCTTAAAGCAAAAACTGATTTAATTATTTTTTAAGCAGTGGGATCTTAAATAAACACACTTACTGCCAACAGTTCAGAACAGTCTTTGTTCTTTCACATTAAAGATTTTTGTTTTTCTTCCTGTGCTCTTTTTACTGGTTTAAAGTGGGCCAGTAACCAGGCTTTGGAGCTAATTTGACATAGCAGCGTCACAATGTCCTGTTATGCATGCTGGCCCAAATGCTGGTGGATGTCTGTATGCATTCATCCGGCGAGAAATAGCTTTTTTGTTTATTCTAAGGTAACACAGCAAATGTGTTTTACTTTTACTTTGATTGTAACTTATTAAGTCAGACATTGCCATTCACAAGACCAGTGTGTAAGATTTAGTGGCATCTAGTAGAGAAACAGCTCATTAAGGTAAAAACCTCCACAGCAATTCCTATGTTCAGGTTCACATACCTATGAATATTATATTCCATTTCTGCCAAGAGGTCCTACATGTTACACTATACCTTTAATAATGTGGAGTGTGATGGCCGCCCTAGCAGCCACACACTGAGGCAAAAGCACATGGTGGTAACTCTTTCATTTTGTCTGACTATCTTTAGGTTTAGTTGTATTTATTAGGGTTTTAGAACATTAGACACAAATTCACAATAAATTAACTGGACACAGATTTTGATCATTAATACAGTTTTTATTAATCCATTTTTGGTGTGCACACAATTAGTTAACTTTCTTTGTCAGTTTTGGGTTAGTATTATTTAGGTTCATTCATTATTTTATGATTGCATTAATTCAGTTTTTCTTTAATTACTAAGTTCCTGGGTGCTGCTGGCTGAAGATGTCCCATGGCTGACAAAAGGAAGTGCCAGCTGAATCAGAGACGCTGATAATTGGGCACACCATGTAGCCGCGAATCATGGGGGGCAGGCAGTGATTTTCTCCTTGTTTGCAGTTTATTATTTCTGATTATTATCTTTTTAAATGTTAGTTATTTTAGTGTATTTCAGTATTTTCCTTAGTTAATATTTGGCTGCATTATCTGGATATTATTTGAGGTTATTATGGTTTGTTTAAATGTTATGTTTTAGTCTATTCCCCCTGTGTGTCAGAGTGGCCTGATCAGCCACCATTTAAGTTTCCCCAATGTCTCATTTTAGTTTGGTCGGTTTGGTTGGTTGGTTTAGTATGTTCAATTTGTTCAGTTAATGTAGCCTGAGTTAAGTTCTGTTTAGTTGACCTCTTTTATGGGCCCAGAACATTTTGTATATTTTGTAAATTGATTATTTTCACATTTTTCTGTGAATAAAATCATTTTTTGTGAAAATTTACCCTTGACTCCTAAAGCCTGCCAGCTTGATCCCTGACATGGAGAAATACGAATATGAAGTTTTCCCTTCAGCTACATCAGTGTATAGCTTTGCCTGTGTCAGGGGGGCAGTACAGTACTGTAGGCTTGGTGTGTTGCTGTCCATGGTGCTGAATGCAGCCTCAGTGTTGGTCACATATTGATCAGTAGAAGATAAAATTTCCAGTGACAAGCGGCACTCTGAGATGGGCTATTGCACTTTATGTAAGTGCTTGTATAGTCTTCATTGATCTTAAGCACCTTTTCCACAACAGGGAAGCATAGCCAGCAAGTATTTTGTCCACCTTGTTAGGCAAAATGATATACCGTGTGTCCCATTTATTTCAAGGAAACAAGCCAGAGAAAGCCTGCTTAATAGCTTTGCTAACAGGATTTCTGAATTAAATGCTTCTATAAATAGACGTACACACAAATAACTTCTCTATGATATTCTACATATAGAACATTCAATCTGAGATTGGTTTGTTTTGATAATTTCTGTCTAATATTAATTCATTGTTTTCATTAGAATATAAAACATGTTAGGATTAATATTATACTACTAAGATCATACTTAACAAAAAATGCAAACAGCAGTCCTTATATATTTTTATATAATCATTTTATATAACCATTGTGTTCGCAATCAAATGCCCGAAACCTGCTGTCTTATCATCAACCATGGCATGTAGTATTTGCAGGCATCTTTGACCTTTGCAATTACACAAACAAAATACATTTTAAAAAATGGAATTGTGTTTTTAATTATTTATGAAGGTATCATTTAAATTGGTATGGAACAACTAGAAAAAATACATAAAATAATCTTGCGAGCTGGACTAATTATATTTTTGACATCGTGTCAGAAATGGCCCTCGGGCCAGCAGGTTTACGGCGTGTTTTTCTTGAAAGTTTCCTGTCCATTAACACCAATCTTGTTAGTTTTTTTCTCTTTTTTTCATAATCATTTATATCATCTATAGCTCATTCATCAGGGGCTCATCAGATATATACAATATATGGCACAAATCTGCCAGATCCTCTCAAATCTTTTGACAGAATCGTGCTCCACCTCACTGGACCTTTGCTTTGTAGAGCAAACCCAGTTTGTGGGGAACTTTGTGGAGTATTTTTTTAAACAGAACCAGGGAACTAGCTGTAACTCATATCTGAATGTCAACACACTGATTGGATTATTACCTGACTCCAATTACCCTCTTTAATAAAAGCCATTATCACAGATGTTCATGTGCTTTTTTCAGTCCAAGACATGGCCTTACATAAAAAGATGAAATTGAAATGAAGATTGCACAAACTCTTACTACAACTTTACGTAACGGTCAACAACACTAATAGAAACAACACAAAGGGATTGGAGAATGGAAAAAGGGATAATGTACTTAAGATTTTGTTTCTATTGAGGGCTGTGATGGCTTAAACCGGTGGTCAGTTTACCTCTGGGGTGTCATTAGGCCCCATTTACTGAGGCATGTGCCTTCGTAATATTTTGTCATGCCCCAATAAAACAATCATGGGAAAATGATGTGTTTTGACAGTGTCCAATATCATGTAGGGAGTGAGAGGCTAATTTGGTGGAGATAACTTATACAGCAGCTGAGCTCAGGCCCTGTGCTGACCGCTGCTGCAGCCTCACAGTTGGACTGCGGCAGCAATTAACAGCTTTGTTTTCAGCCCATGAGTTTGAGTGATGGCAGCTTTATGTGAACTCATATAATTGTATGGCTGCAAGGCAAGGTTGATGATGTTGAGGAATAAAGGAAAATTCCTAATTTCCGCTCTCAACGTTGCTCCTATTTGCATGTACACAGGCATCAACCAACCAACCATGACATTTAGAAGATTTCACCGTTCCAGGAGATCCTGCTGTCCCAAAAAAACAAAGAAATCAGCAGTGGCTCCATCTGCCTCTTTCTCTAGAATCAACTTCCTACTGCAATTAAAGAAGTTTAAATTCAAATCCCATCAACTGCTGTCATTCGACCAACCCAAGCATGTCTGTTCAGGTTTCATACTTTCTCTTGCTATACTTTAAGCAGCTATTAATATGGGAAAAGGCAGTTGGAAGCCAGTCTTACCCTGTCAGCATCATTACACTGAGTGAGTGTCTGCTGTCTGTATGTTCATAGCCAAATATATCAGCTCCAAGACTGCTGGTCGGGTTGAGCACAGACACCTGTCACATACAATGATCTCACTTGGCAGTGGACACAGGTGGGAGACCGTGCCTCTTTCAGCTTTCCTAACAAGGGATTCCCACTGACTTGATTCAGGAGATTATTCACACTTTTTTTTGTTTTGTTTTTTATATAAGATTTTCTTGCTTTGTTTACCTCACTTTCACTGAGGGTGTAAGGGTTGAGAGACACTAGTTCTTGTAACAGCGAAATGTCTGCCCCAAATACTTCAGTTGCAGTGGAATAGCAGCAATTAGCCAACAACTTTGGTGAAGTTTGACAAATTGCAGGCTGTCTGCTGACTTCATAGGGAATGGAGTTCCAGGGAGTATAAAATGGAGGAAGGTAGCATATTAGCTGTCACACCAATTTTATATTCCTCTGCTTGACAGAACAGTTAGTGGGACAGCTGTTAAAAGTACATCTCTTGAATAAACTTTGTTAAATTATTGCTTGTTTATCAAAAGAGCCAGCTTGCAGTAAGCCAGGTAGCTAGTTTTTATAAGCTAGCATGGCAGGCTTTTCTGGCTGGTCAGTGCTAGCACGTTACTGGCTAGCTACTATGTTTTTTATTAGCTTGCCAGGCACACTAACAACAGTAGCAATATGTTATGAAGCTCCCAGCACCACCTCCTATGGGAGGATGCACAAATTACTTTTGCTATGCTGCTACCTATTATGAACGGGCCACGGAGATAGGCTAGGAGGGCATTTTATGAAGCTCAAATATGCCGTCGTTTTGTATCTCGTTTCTTCTGTTTTATGAGAGATGTTGGGATAAAGGTTGGATGATGGCGCTAGACGAAAAGATTACAATTCATCAGAGAGTGACATGAAAATCTTTACCACATTTCAAGGTAATCCAGCAAATTTGGTCAGTCTGGACCGAAGTGAATGACAGGCTGACAGATCGAAAGTGCTGTTCATACAGCCAATGCCACTAACATGGCTAAAAACAAGAAATGTATCTCTTAGCTCCACAGTCACT